AGAGATCTCCATTGCGTGCGCGGCTGAGAGAAGTACGATCTGTTTGGAAAAATTGGACCTTCCCGGTGAAAAAAACCTGGTGGTTGAGGAGAGGGATTGAACTCAATGACCTGCAAATTGGATCTGGTTGGTGGTTTCAAACATTTTTTATTTTCCACAATATATGGGATAATCCTTCTTGACTAATATTTTTCAGAGGGGTTGAAACCACCCAACCAGGTATAAATTGTAGAGGTGATGGTTGGTAGTAGACCTGCAAATGTACAGCCCACCCCGAAATTTGTGGGATCTCACAGGCTGACGTACTTCCAACTGACAGCGGAGAACTACAACTGGTGGTGGAGGCTAGGGGTGAACATGGAGGAAGTGGACGTCATGTGGGTCTCAGAACTGGAACAGAACTGGTCAACTGTCATGGTTACCCCATGTTACCCCCAATTGAGGGCCCAGAGCCATTTGGAGTTTGGGAGTTTCCTGGGAATTTCCACATAAGTACTTCGAGTTTGGATTTTTCGTAGCTTGATGATGGTTGATGTGGGTTGTATCATGTTGCATCAAGTTAGATCTGAAGGAAAATTGATTGACCAGGTCGTTCATGGCCAGTGCCTCCTCCGCTGTCTATGCCCCTTGACAATGACTTGGATGGGGATGGCAGGGCTGCTGACATCCAGTTGGGATATATTTGTTTTTTCTGGAAATATCGGGGAACTGAATTAGAAAATATGATAAAATATGTTGTTATGATGGGACATCTCCAGAAATCACATCAGCCAAATACTTATAATACTTGGTCCCTTGAAAAAGAAGCCCTGAAAAACGCTGAAAAACGCATCTTTTTCGCTAGCCTGTTGGGCTCCGAAAGTCCGAGGTCTTCATGTATTCCATCATGTACTTCAGCACGCGGCTTTCAATTGATAAAATGGTGCTCCAGCCAGGGGACTGGATGGCCAGGATGGCCAGGATGGCCAGGATGGCTGACAGGATGGCCATGGGAAACACAAACACCATGGTTCAACTCTTGAAATTTGCACTTTCCGTTTTGCGATTGTATTATTTGTATTCGATGGACAAGTTTTCAGATGCTTTCAGACTTTCAGGTATCAACGTTACTATATTTCGGCTACATGTTCATTCTCTCCTTGATCTTTGGTTTGCTGACTGGCTCCATCGGCCTGCCGCGGCCTCAGAGACAGAGACAACGGATCGAAGCGCCACATGTGCTCGCTCGGAAGTCGTTGGGAAGTTGATCCGAAATCCGCACATTTCCCGAAAAAAAAATCCA